CACGGTGTTCACCGATCATAACCCGTTAATTTTTCTGTCCCGCATGTATAATCAGAATCAGCGCTTAATGCGCTGGTCTTTAATTGTTCAAGGTTACAATTTAGAAATCAAGCACAAGTCAGGTGCAGAGAATGTTGTGGCAGATGCGCTCTCCAGAGCTAGTGGCTGTAATTAGTTCAGCTGTGTGCTGTTTTTTTTTTTAAACAAACAAATGTTTGTTCTTAAGGGGTAGGGATATGAACCCGGGACCTCTCGCACCGAAGCGAGAATCATACCCCTAACAGAGGGACTCTGTTAAAATGGCTGCAATTCCTAAGCGGTTAATGCAATATTTTTGTTAAACCCCTTGAATTAAAGCTGAAAGTCTACACTTCAATCACCTGTACCTAAGAAAAAACTATTCACAAAAGGCTTGACTAAACAAATATGTTTTCAGCCTAGACTTAAACACTGAGACTGTGTCTGAGCCCCGAACACTAAGTGGAAGGCTGTTCCATAACTGTGGGGCTTTGTAAGAGAAAGCTCTACCCCCAGCTGTAGCCCACACTATTCGAGGTACCAACAAATAGCCTGCTCCTTTTGATCTAAGTAGGCGTGGCGGATCATAAAAGACCAAAAGTTCGCTCAGGCACTGTGGCGCGAGACCATTTAATGCTTTATAAAGTAGAATATAAAGTACAATATAAATGCTAATGACACAGACACAAAAGAGGTTTGTTTTGTGAATTAACTGATTGGGAGATGCATAAAGGGCCAGTGCATATAAAGGGCCAGTGCATATGCGCAACTCTCAATTCCCCTTATTCTCCCTATCTCAGAGACTGATGTCTCTAAGCTCCTCCACTCTAGCCATCCTACAACCTGTCCTCTAGACCCTATCCTTTCTCACCTTCTTCAGGCCATCGTTCCCACACTACTACCTGCACTCACACACATTTTTAATACATCCTTCTCCACTGGCACCTTCCCTACCTCTTTTTAGCAGGCCCGGGTTACCTCGCTGCTTAAAAAAAACAACACTTAACCCTGCTGCTGTTGACACCTACAGACCTGTCTCCCTCCTACCTTTCCTGTCCAAAACCCTTGAAAGACCTGTTTTTAATCAACTCTCCACTTTTCTCACACAGACCAACCTCCCAGACACCAAGTAGTCTGGCTTCAAAAGCAGCCACTCCGTGGAGACTGCTCTGCTTTCCCTCACTGAAACTTTACGACTAGCAAGATTGATCTCAAGATCATCTGTCCTTATCTTACTTGACCTCTCTGCTGCCTTTGCCACTGTGAATAATTAGATCCTCCTGTCAACTCTTTCTGGTCTAGGCATCACCGGAACAGCTCTGCGTTGGATGGAATCCTATCTTTCAGGCAGATCCTTCAAGGTATCATGGAGGGGTGTCTGAATCTCAGTAACTCACAACTGGGGTTCCCCAGGGGTCAGTTCTGGGTCCACTGGTCTTTTCTATTTATACTACATCTCTGGGGCTTATGATTGAGTATCATGGATTCTCATAGCACTGATATGCTGATAACACTCAGCTCTATTTATCCTTCCAGCCTGAAGATCCATCGATCTCGATCTCTGCCTGCCTGTCTGACATCTTGGACGGGATGAAGGAACACCAGGCGGTGTAAGCTCAACTTGGCACAAACTCAGCTTCTCTTCAACCACAAGTTCACCGTACAGCTAGGCTCAACCACACTCAAGCCAACCAGGACAGCCAGAAACCTCAGGGTGACTTTTGATGACCAGTTGAAATTTACAGACCACAGTTCAACAACTGCATGGTCCTGTACGTTCATTCTGTATAACATCAAGAAAATCAGACCCTATCTCATTGATCATGCCACACAGCTACTAGCCTAGGCTCTTGTTATCTCAAAACTGGACTATTGCAACGCACTACTCCTGTGCCTCCCAGCCAGCTAGATCAAACCTCTTCAGACGATTCAGAATGCAGCAGCATGCCTTATTTTCAACCAGCACAAAAGGACCCACAAAAGGATCCAATGGCTTAGTATAGCCCCTCACATCAAATTCGAGGCCTTGATGCTCGCATACAAGACTGTCTGGATCCGCACCACTGTCTGGAATACTCTCCTTGACATTTATGTCTAGAAGAGATGCAAATATAGCAATTTGTGAATGTGTGACTACAGAGTTGGCTTAATATGGACAGTAAATTTAGTAGTTATCTATCATAAGTCTGTATCTGTATAATCTGTATTATTTTTGTGTGCCAAATACTCTTACTTACAACATTTGTTAGTCACCTCTGGAAGTTTTGGTTAAGTGTTTCCCTTGTCTGAGGAAGGAGAATAAATCCTGAAGTTGAGCTATATACAAGCTTAAGCTTTCTTCCTCTTTGTTTCTATATACAGCTGCAGAGTTTATGAACACACCCCTCACTCCTTACTTAACGGAATTCAGGCATGCAATCCAATCTGAGATCACTTCTTGTCTGAGGCACATTTGTCAGCACTGGTACTGCATTACCATATCAAGCATAGGTCAGAGGAGGTGATGGATGCCAAAAATGATCTGAGGCGCAAGAAAGAGGCTGGTGCTGTTCATGACATACTCACAGTTTACTATTTGCTGGATGTCGATATGTTCCTTTCACTGAAAGCTATTGTTTCAAGTTGCATTGACTATACAGGTTAGTAGTTGTAGCTGTGAAAGAGCTTTTAGTGTCTTGGCTCAGGTGGACCATGGTATAAAGTAGACTCCAGTAATCAGTCAACTACCATAATCAAAACCAGCTAATGCTTTATATGTTGCATGTCACACTCATTAGGGCCTGACTACCACTATGTCTATAGTTGATTGGGAACTAATGATATGGCTTAAGGTAAGGGGGCTTGAGCCAGCCTCACTCCACTGAGATATCTTTTATAGATTCTTCAAAAGTGAAAAGCAATGTAAGTTAAATTACAGTAAAACAGCATAATAATTAGTTATATATTTGTAACTAAATTCATATTTTACATAAAGAGAGTTACAAACATAAAAATAGCCTTTTGGCCCTTAACAAGATACATGTGTATTTATAGAGAGAAAGGTAGACCCTAGCACATACATCTAATCAGAGGGGATCAGTGAACCATAAGACTTTTCTGACATCATTTACAGAGGTCTAGAACTAACATGATGGTTTGATTGACAGTTTTTCTGATTATGCTGCCGCTGCTTAATCTTTTTTTATTTTTTTAGTATGGTTTCTGAGCACACCTCGATTACTCGAATGGAAAGATTTCTGGATCTGTATTAAGGGCAAACTTTAATGTTTGTCAAATGCTCACTGTAGTAGAAGTAATAATAAGCTTTTGTTGTTTCAGCTGCTCCCATTAGGGGTCACCACAATAGATCACCAGGATGCCCTTCCCATTTATCCAGGCTTGGGACCAGCACTGAGAGTATACTAGCCTGTGCACCTGCAGGGGCTGGGGTTGGCAACCAGCATGGGGCTCAATCCCATGATCCTGAGATCAAGAGTCCCATGTTCTATCAACTGAGCTAACCGGGCACCCGATAATAATAATAATAATAATAAAATGTAGACAAATGAAGTGAAAATACAGAGGGTAGTGCTGAGGGGCGTGAAAAGGTTGGATCTTGGTTGCCTTCATGTGGCCCAATTAAGAAACTGCAAGGACCCTGATGCATATTTGAGGCATATTTGCATTTGAGGCAGTATGTTTAAACATGGTGTAAAGAAATAAATTAATAAATACATAAAGCATATGTGATTTAGTATTCTATGTGATATATTTGGAACATGCTAGATAGATAGATAGATAGATAGATAGATAGATAAACACACAGACAGACAAATATGTGTACTTTATTGACCCCTAGGGGGAAATTTGTACTCATTGTGAGTGAACTACTTGTGTGGTAAAGTCCCGCCTCCTCGCTTGTTCTCAACTGGGTCCTGTAGAGAAGGGGATAAATATGTGGGCGCTGAGTGGCAAGCTTTATTGAGAGGCTTTACTTTGAGACAGCAGCTGTAAGTATGTCTGTCAGAGGAAAATTCAGCAAATCACAGTAGCTGGACCAAGTGATGTAGGTAGGTAGCAGCGTAAGCAGGAATTACAGTCATTACAGCCATATTTTACAAGCTTGCGTCTGTAAAATAATTCAGGGGAGGCTTGTGGGACCTCTTGAACTACAAATAACAGGGGCTTGAGCCACTTATCACAATTCCATGCATCATTATGAATGAATTTATGTATCATATTCTTAAGCATCGGATTAAACCCTTCGACCAGTCCATCTGTCTGTGGATGGTAAATTCTGGTGCGAATCCAATCAATCCCCAAAAATTCGGATTCACCAGCTGACATTCATGACATGCTGCACTCCCCCGTGAACAATATCCATGAATGCCCGGCCAATAGAAATGAGCCATTAGACAGTTCAGTGTTTTGTCCTGACCTAAGTGCCCTGCCATCGGATTATAGTGAGCCTCCTGGAATAATATTTCCTTACTCTTCGGGACCAACGATTGGATTGTTTCCTCCTTGGTTTGAGTGTCCTGCATCATTCGGTATAACCTATCTTTAATAACTGCAAAATAGGAGCAGAAGACTGCAATGTTGGGCCATCAATTACTTTCACTTGGTTGAAGGCGTGCTTGAGAGTGTCGTCTCGTGTCTGCTCCAAAGGGAAATCCCCAAGCCTCCGTGTCTTCCTGACATGGAGCTGATGTCAATGGCCCAGGCGATGCCATGTGCACATTCCACAACATGCTACCCCGCTGCAGGACCCATCCACACACATTCCTTTCAACGTCTGAAATGCCAGCAAATTCCTAAAATCAGTGGATGGGTTAGGCAGGGACTACCCTGTTTTTGTCCCTGGAATTGGATTGTGACTGGCACCAGCGGATACTTATGAACATCCCCGTGCACACATCTCACCTTCACCAATCGTGCATTTTCCAATGCCTTACCTAGAACCAGAAGTTGGTGAAATAAGGTTTGGTTACAGCTTGAATCCACCAACGTGTGGTATCCCTGCTTAATTGGGGTGGCCTGTGGCAAGTCGGGTACCCGGGCCAACACCCCACCTCCAACACATGGCATTGATCCTCGAAATATCTGGGTTCCCCGCAGCACCAGAACACTGGCCCAGGCCTTACTCCCATACATGTGGCCCGGGGAACTGGTTTCAGGGGAATTGGCCCCCATATATACACATACATATATACATATATACATACATATACTAGGTCCGGAAGTATTTGGACAATGAAAGAGTTTTTGTGATTTTGCCTTTATACACCACCACAATGGATTTGAAATAAAACAATCAAGATGTGATCAAAGTGTTGACTTTCAGCTTCATTTTAAAAGGTTCCACAAAAATATGACATTTACCATTTAGGAATTACAGCCATTTTCAGGGTCTTAAAGGTATTTGGACAATTGACTGACAAGAAATTAATTAACCAGTTGTGGACATATATATATATAAAGAAAGAAAGAAAAAAGTAAAAAGGAGACCCATACGATTTCGACAATTACCTAATGAACATTGACTATAAAATCCTTGCTCCCCCTGGATGAAACTTTAAATAAGATCAGAGAGATACAACAGATGTGTGTGATTAAAGGAGGATATACTGTATATGGGACAACTGAAGCTTTCGACTTCATCTCTAGGGAATATTTATGGAGCGTAATGGACACTGCGGTTTTCCACAAAAGTTTATCATAATAACTAAAACCTTTGTATAAGTAATCAAATGAATACTAACAGATTTTTAACTGATGATTTGATGTACGCAGAGCGCAGAGTTTTATGTCATTGCGATTAGCCCTCTCAGGAGCTAGATTAAATCAAAATAAAATGTACTTAACTATTACAAATGCCAAGTAATCTGAATGCACCTGGGGGAAAAGGTGGAATAAATCAAATCAGAAACCTAAACTTGGAAAATTTCTAATTACAAATTTAGAATCCAAGTTGTCATAAAACACACACGCAAGACACACACATTATCTTCAACCAACTAAATTATTATTTTTTTTACTAAATAACTTCCATATACATACATTACATACTTTCTAAACGAGGAAAATAGCCAATCACTGTTCATCACACGCAAATAATCAAAATGTTTGACCTTCCCATACTATTATTCTTGGCTGTCGTCTTTCCCCCTGACAAGGCATGTTTAATTTTTTTTTTTTGGTTTGTTTTTTTTTGTGCAATTTATCTAGGGTAACAACAGCGAAGTAACGACACAAACAATCTTATACAAACCAAAAGAGCTTGTCAGACTTGGTGCCACTGAACTAGGGAACAAACTAAAAACTGGGGTTTTGTAAAAAAATGTGACGAAATAGAGTGGTGGATTGGATAAGGGTGATAAAATCATGGAGGGGGAAAAAATAGACATTTGTCCTATTAACAAATGTCAACTATCAATCTTCTTTTAATCCATTGCTCACATTCAGCAGAAAATTGCGAAAAAAGATAAATTTAGGATTAGACATAAAAGTGGATAATGTACAGAATTTTCTACAACAATTTGACAAAAAAAAGTTGAAGAATTTTATTTCCTTGTTATATATACTGAGACCTATAAAATATGGAACATGTAAAATGATTATTCTACAGTGCTATATCCCCGCTAAGATTTTTTACAACAGTTTATAATTGAAAGGAAAAGACAAAGGACTATGTACAGAAGACAAAGAAAAACACAACTATGGACTCTCTTCAAGATGTGAACTTTTGGTGAGTGTAAATATTGTATAAATATGTGTAAGTATCTTGATATGCATGCCTTGAATGTTTAAATATGTGTTTTGAATAACTCAAATATGTATATTTCTATACTGAAAAATGTTGATGATTGCCTTCAATGAGTGCTGAAATCATTCAATAAAGCTTGATTTAAGAAGCGAGGGAAACCATAGACCTATCAGAAAATATCAGAGTATAATGTGGTTGGTTAGAGTAGGTAGACTAGCAGTGTGATGTAAAATGGAGCTGCTATGCTACCACTAAAATATGTACTCTGAGCAGCTGGCATGGAGACAAAACAATTGAACATCTTTTAATATACTGTTCATGCTTAGCAGAGTTATAGGATGGTAAATGTTGGCCTGCCAAAAATAAAAGTGGAAAACTTTTTCTGGTTTCTAATCTGCATAGTGCATAATAATAAAACCTGGAAAACAAGATGCATAATTATTAGTGTTCATTAAAGCTTGAAAAACAAAACCAGTGTTAAGGCTAGGGCCAAGACCAAGACATTCATCTGTAGGGCCTCTAATTTCCCTGTGGGCACACACACACGCTGTTGTGTAAAGGCAACTACACAGAGTGTGTCGATGCTGGCATGCCAGTCTATTTGTCTGCCATTGTAAGACATTAAAATGTCTTAAACTGAGTTTTTGTCAAATGCCATAATTAGATATGTACCTTACAAGTATTGCTTGTCAAATTGTGCCCTGAATATGTTTGTTTGTTATTAGTAATTTTTTTAGCCTGGTCTGTAAGAACAACTTAAACAATTTTTTAGTCCCAGTCATGCTGAAAAGACTTGAAAAAACCCATGCATAGGTAATCCATTTTTGTGAATTTACATTTGTGACATAGGTAGCTGAAGCTAAGCCATTTGTGTCTGACTGGAGCAACCAGGATTTAACAACTCCACCCAAAACTCCCACTTGAGCTTGGGTGGTCGAAGACATTTGCATGACTTTCAACTGGCGATGGTAAAGTCCCAGCCAGAGGATGACTCTGATTCTATAAGACATGGGTATGCTTGTACTAAGGCTTTTGCCACAGTTTTAAAAATCTTCCTTTGTTGGGTATGCTTTAAATATATACATGGTCTCAGCTGGTTTCTCAAGGATATCATGTTTCAGCTCTTTTGTCACTTTGAGATAGGTTGCTTCTCCCTGAGATACAAGAAGTTATCTTGACAAAGTCTATGCTCAGTGTCAAAAGAAAATGCGGGAATGTCACAAACTTTTGCCCACTAATGACTTCTATCCAGAGAAGAGTTAAATAGGATATTTCACAAAATTATTAAGTTGATTCATCATGATTTTGATGGTTGGCTTCTCTGGCACTCAGAGAGATCTCTAAGGTTTCACAGTTCATAGTTAAATTCAGGATCTTGGTATTGTAATGTGAAGCTGTAGTTTGTTTGGAGAGTGCCTTAAAGCCAGCCAGTCATATCTTCAAGTGGGTCAGGTTGTGTTATCATCTTTTTTCATGGTTCATTCCTGTTGCACAGCAAGCTGGGAGGAAAAAATGATAGACAGGTATTTAGTTGAAGTGATATCGATTTCACAATTCGATTCAATTCGATTCTCTGAATATTATGAACAAAATTTTAATGAAGAACAAGGATGACTGAAAAGACAAAATGTTTTATTTCTGAATCACAAACAAAACAAAACAATGTGCATGTCTGTCTGTATAAAACTAAATAAATCAAAATTACTATGAATAGAGGTTTAAATTTGTAACCAAAATAAGGTAAACCTAAAGTTTCACATT